TTAATTGAATGGGAAAAAATTTAGGTCAGAAAATTATGATCCCTTGCAACATCTTCCCAGCTCTAATGCTCCAAGTGATGCCACTAGTGACTGGAAAAAGGGAAACATTGGATCCATTAAAAGAAAAAGGTAGAAAGGAAGACCATGGCACCTCCTGATTTGTCATCCTTACCTCTGTGCCTGGGAAGACCTTGAACCTCCTCCTAGAAGCTATGGTAAGGCACATGAAGAACAGGGAGATGATTTGAAACAGTCAGAACAGATTCACCAAGGGCAAGTCCTGCCTGACAAACCTAGTGGCCTTCTATGATGGAGTAACAATATCAGAGGACAAGGAAAAGCAACAGATGCTATCTTGACTTCTGTGAAGCCTTTGACATGGGCCTCCACAACATCCTTCTCTCTAAATTGAAGAGATGCAGATTTGATGGGTGGACTGTTAGGTGAATGAGGTTGGGTGGTCACACACAGAGAGTAGTGGTCAACGTCTTGGTGTTCCTCCCAAGCTGGACATCAGTGACAAGTGGTCCCTCTGGGTTCTGTGTTAGGACCAGTACTGATATCTTCATCAATGATATAGACAGCAGCATTGGGTAGACCCTTAGCAAGTTTGCAGATGACACCAAGCTGTGTGGTACATGGCACACCTGAGGCATGGGTTCACATCCAGAAGGACCTGAACAAGCTCGATAGGTGGGACCGTGGGAATCTCATGAGGTTCAACAAAGCCAAGTGCAAGGTGCTGCACATAGGTTAGGGCAACCCCCAGTATCAAAACAAGGCTGGGAGATGAAGGGATTGAGAGCAGCCCTGTGGAGAAGGACTTGGGAGTACTGGTGGATGAAAAGCTGGACATGACCCAGCAGTGTGTACCTGCAGCCCAAAAAGCCAACCGTATCCTGGGATGCTTCAAAAGAAGCTTGGTCAATGGGTAGGAGGAGGTGATTCTGCCCCTCTACTCCACTCTCAAGGGACCCTTCTAGAGCATTGTGTCCAGTTCTGAGGCCCTCAACATAAGAAGGATGTGGACATATGGGAGAGAGTCCACATGAGGGCCACGAAGACGCTCAGAGGGCTGGAGGAACTCTCCTGTGAAGACAGGTTGAAAGAGTTGGGGTTGTTCAGCCTGGAGAAGAGAAGGCTTCACGGAGACCTTATATATTCCAGTAATTAAAGAGGGCTTAAAAGTTAGAAGGGGACAAACTTTTTTAGCAGGGTCTGTTACGATAGGACAAGGGGTAATGGTTTTAAATGAAAAGAGGGTAAATATAGACTATAGATAGAGCATATTTTTTTAATTATGAAGATGGTGAAATACTGGCACAGGTTGCCCAGAGAGGTGGTAGATGCCCTATCCCTGGAAACAATCAAGATCATTTTAGTCAGGGCTCTGAGCAACTCATTGAAGTTGTTCCTGCTTATTTCAGTGGGCTTAGACTATAAGATTTTTAGAGGTTACTCCCAGCCCAAGTATTCTATGAGTGTATGATTCAAATCTAAAAAAAAAAAAAGTAACTAGAGGGAAATGAGATACATTTGATTTGCTCCTGTGACATCAGAATACTAGAATCTGGAATAACATTCTTAAAGCCAAGAGCTGAAAGTTTCCACAAAAGCAAAACAGTCAAATTTTCTACTAAAAATGTGTTGCAGCACTCCAAAGGCAGCACATGGGTATACCAACCAGCAGAGCCTGATTCCAAAAATTCTGAACCAAAAGCTCTTCAGTTATCTCCCAGCTTGCTAGGCACATAAAGCAGTACATACTCTCCCCCTTCTTAGAGTCATAGAATTAAGGTTGGCAAAGACCTTTAAGGCTATTGAGTCCAATTATCAACACTGCCGCATTCGTCACTAGGACAGGACTCCAAATGACATGTTACACATTTTCTGAACACTTGTGGGGATGGCAACTCTCTGGGCAGCCTGTTCCAATGCCTGACCAACCTTTCAGTGAAATTTTTTTTCCTAATATCCAATCTAAACCTCCCCTGACACATCTTGAGGTCATTTCCTCTCACGCCGTCACTTCTTCTTCAGAAGCCGGTAAACATTCAGTGTAGAGATTCAACATGCATATAAACATACACCATACCTCTTTTCAGGTGTTTTGCAGAATATCCACTCCACAGTGGGCTGGGGGTAGCTCTCAGATATGCACTCAACAGAGTCCGATCTTTCACTCTTCCTGAAATAGGGTTTGCCTGGTTTTTCTGTTAAAAATCATGCAAATGTTTAAGAATGTTGAAATAATTTTGAAACAGTGTTTTGCTCATTTCATCATGCATGAAGTTACAGAGCTGCCATTTGTTTCAGAAGGTTTCAACACTGAGGGAACAAAAAATGGTTCAGCCCTGGGTTATTGTGGATTGGTCTCATGAGCTTTTCAGTCTTGATTGCTAAATTCACAGCTTCCCTGTACCAAAGGCCAGCCCATACATGCCAGGGGATAATCCTGAGACTGATAGTGAAGGGTGGTAATTTGCTGTGGTTGCTATTCATGTCACTAGACAGAAGCACAGATACCTTTCAAAATCACATCCTGAACCCATCCTTTGGTGGTGGAGTATATACATAGGCTGTACACAAAATTGGGTTGTTGCATCCTACTGAGTCAGATCAAATATACAATGGAAACAACGGGTGATAATAACTTTCGGTAAGCAGAAGACTTCTCTACCCTACATCTGTAACCCCGAGGGTTATTCCTAGGCAATTCCCAGTCCCCTGAAGCTGTCAGGCACTGACTTGGACTAGGCACAAAAATTAAATGTATTCAAACTGCTAAGGATTTGACTCAAAATGAAAAGCATTGAGCCCAGTCTTAGGTCATCTTTCAATGAAATTACAGCTTCCATGTGGAGGAGTCACATTGTCTTTAGAGTCATACTTTCATTGCTTTTTTATTTCTTTCCTAATTTATCTCTTACAAGCTGGGCCTAGAAGGATTTTTCCACCTAGAGGCTATAGCTCAGTTAAAGGGTTCACATCTAGCCTGGAGGACTTTACGAGAGATGTAATTATGCTATTAGATTTACAGGAGCAAAGAAAATGCAATCCAAGCAATTGATATGGAAATATCTTTATTGACACTGTTTCTAACTATTCCTGCTTGTGCATGTAATAGCAATTTTTACCTCTAAAGCCTAATTGATACAGTAGAGATGACAATTCTTAGTGAAAGATTTAATACCCTGTCTCCTCAATGAAGCTGTTAAAATTATAACTCAGATATGCAATAAGCCTTCAGATAAAACAAGGAGAGACTGGAGATGCCTTTTCTGAGACCTGAGAGAGAAAAAGGTTAAGCAGAAGAAATACTTAAAAAACAAAGAGGGAATAAAAAACCTGTTGATTAGTCACAGTTTATTAAAGACAAGGCAAGTAATGATGCTTGTTGTTAAACCTGTCTCTAGAAGGGTTTGCTAGTCTTTCAGCTTTTTGGATTGATGTTTTGCTTTCCTTTCTTTGAAATTTCTTTCGCATTTACAAATTTAAACTTGTCTCTTTCCAGACAAAATAATATAGTCTTTCTCTCATCATTCCAACATGGGTCTTTTGGGTTGTTTTTGGAGATATTCTTGGGCACCCCTATTTAGAAACAGAAGCTTGCGCTTTGTTGCAGCAGTTGCCTTTGCATCAGAGATGTCTCTTGAGCTAACCTTGAGAAAATTCAATCAAATTTGCTCCCACTGGGAGCCTTTAAAAAACTTGCACCTTGCAGGTGCTCTGTTATGAACATTTAACAGCAGTTAAAATCTCAGTTTCTTGGGCACCCGTGTGGTTAGCAGCTGCAGAACTGAGGGATTTTACTTTAAAATCCAATAAACAAGTAAAGGCTGGCACTGAGAAGAGGGACCTTTCCTCTCCCCTTCTCTCAGTGTGCCTCGTGCTGCCTTCAGAACTGTGAAAGGAAAAGCTGTGAGAGAAGTGAGGGACAGGGGCAGGTGGAAAAGTGACAGTGGGTCAAAGTGTGACTTGGGAAAACTAGAGACCAGAATATAAAAGGGATGTCCTGATCTGGTCCAGATAACCCAGTCAGCAACATCAAGAACAAACAGGTTAAAATGACAGCAAACAAATCTAGCCCATGAGCTTTGAAAGCGCACAAAAGCCACCCTTGATTTGTCCCTTTTGGCACAGAGGGGAATCTCTCATAGGGGAGAAGAGAGCTGCCATGCATTTACATCTTTATTTGTTCATTTGCATAGTTTATTGACTAGTGAAAGCAACTCTCACACTGTTTGTGGTTCTGACTTCAGCCTCTGAAGGCAGCAAGTCCTATGCTAATCTAAGAAAATGCTTGAAAGGCAGCATATGAAAGCTTCATTGCCTTGACTGAACTTGACCCTCTGCCCTTAAACCTATTGATGGAATGATCCCTTTCATGTAGACATACTTACTTCGGATGAGAATAGGCACAACTACTGTGTAATTGCCAGTTTTACTTGTGACGGAGAGGGTGTATTTTCCAGCTTGTCCTTCTTTTATTTGGGAAAAAGCCAAAGATGTAACATACCTATAAAACAGAAAGTAAAGTTGTATTTGTTAGGGTAATATGAAGAAGGTAATATGCAGCACACACAATGAAACATTAGCTCTGTATTTCTTGCAAAACCCCTTCAAAGACTCTAGCATTCATCATTTACATATTGTCCTTCAACCTGCAGTGCTTTCATCATGAGCCTTCCTACACAAGCAGTACGGAGGAACTTACAGTCACAGGTACCAGATGCTTAATGTTGAGCATTGAGAAGGATGGGCATCCTGAGCTTAGGACAGTTTAGGTGTTCCACAGCAAAATGTTTTACCTACAGTCCCATTCTACAAGTTTTGCATAGGGAGGCAATAATTCAGCCTCAGGTTCCAGCCCAGGTTTGGCTGTGAGAATTAGAATGCTATTGTTGTTGTTCCTGATCTGCACTGTGTCCCTGAAAGTCACATAATTTTTCATGCCTTGGTTTCTTTGACTATAAAATCACAATTTTCCTTCACATGAGTATGGCAAAGCTCAAATGGATGAATGTCAAGACAGTCTCTGGAGACCCCCATGCATGATGCTAGACAAATTAAAAGTATAAGATTATTTCAAAACGTTCTTGGTTTTAAGATTCATATGTGTACATGTATCTAAATGACAATCAGCAATGTGCTGCCGTGTGACAACAGTTAAGAAAGATTAGGAGACTGAAAAAGATAATGCATAACATGAAATCAAACAGAGGCACCATCACAGAAAACAGTCCATTTGCACTTAAAAAGAAACAATCTCTTAAAGGATCTCTGATCCAGTACATCCCCCAACTTACCGATTCTCTGAGTCCAAAGAAGGTTTGCAAGCTTTACTTTCTTTAAAGAACCAAAAGCATGAAATGATATTTGAAATGCTCATTATTATTCTTAATTCTGTATCTTCAAATACATTGACTTCCACATTTTTAATTGTTTTGTAGATGTTTTCTGTTCCTTGAGAATTCAAATAGCACCCAAGATCTTTCAAAATGCTAGAAATCTGCAATGCAGGAGGACAGATTGTTATGTATCTATTAGCAATTAACTTTAGCTTCTTTTTTGCATTCAAATATTATTAAAGGATGCTCTTCTGGAAAAGATTTCATAAATCAATAATGCCTCATAATGCCCAAATACAAATTATAGCAAAATAACACCTTCATGGCTTTTGTTTGTTTGCTTTTTCATTTCTACCATCAAATTTATTCATAAATATGTTGAGTTCTACTGCATGGGGAAACCCTATAGTATTCCTGTTGAATCAATTAATTCTGTTCTTTAGGCTGACATGAGAGAACAATTTCAGCCAGAAACATGATAACTTCCCTTAGAGATACAGGTTATTCTTTACACTCAATTTTGATTCGTTTTATTTAGAACCATAGGAAGACACAGAGCTATAATAAAACCTTTCTGCTTGCAACTTTCATGTAAAGGCATGGTCAGAATGTAGGGTTTATTTTAGCATCCCACTGCTTGTCACTACATCATCTGGCTAGACTTCTCCTCAACTCCTTGGGGGTGTTACTAGGCAAGGAACATACAGCCTGGAGGCCTTCATACTTTTCATTTCCTCACCATTGCATACAGCTAAAGGAGAATCGCAAACAGAAGAGAATGTTCCACAGTCATTCTGAAAGTCACAAATGGATTAATGATTCTCCAAGACTAGCTAAAGCAAAAGGTGTCAAGAAAATAGCTCTATCTGCAGAGGAACCCTAAATGTCTTAATTACTTTGGTGGGTGAAATTTATTCAGTGTAAGTTTATGAAAGGACAGAGTTCATTGCATCCTCTGCCCTGCATTTTGCTTGGCTGGTTGGTTCTATTCATTCCTTGTTCCTTTTTCCTTTTGCTTGACCTGAGAAGTATCTAGAAATAACAACAATATTCTGCCTTGTTAGATACAAGGACAGCACAGCTTTGGCTGATGTACCTTCATTTGTTATCTGAATTATTGATTTATTTGTTCAGGGATGAAAAAGATTTCATAAGACTTTCCTGAAACCAGAATGCTCAGGAAATATCTTAATTGCAGGTCTCAGCTGATTTATTATTCAGTTGCACATCATCTCCTCTTGGCTTTCTGTCATTTTGAGTCAAAAGATAAGAAAATAAAATTGTATTTGATTCCTTGTCCAGTTTTGGTGTCTAAGTCAAGGTTTAGACCAGGCAGGTATTTATGGGCTTTGGTGGTAGGAACAGAGGGCAGTACAGCTTCCCTGCCAGCATTAGCAGCCATGGCACACCCTGCCCTGTTCACATCATAGTCTTTGAAAACCCCTCTTAAGGGCACATATTTTCACATATTTTTTACAGTGATACACTGCCAGCAATATTCAGCAATATTCAGGTATGCTGATGTGAGACAGAATCAAGGTGGCAATTAAAAAGTCAGTTTTAGAGAAAACTGGTACTTAACTATTTACAGTTTCGACGTATGTATTGTGATATATATACCCCCCGACCTTCTGTAGTCATATTTGGCATAACCCTAGTTATTTTGACTGGGACATTCATCACATCCTAAAGGTTTAGGGTGTTGTAAGTTTCTAGGAAGTTATTTGTGGAATGGACAGGAATATTTTACAAGAAACTTGTTCTCTGTTGTGCTACCTTAGGAGATACTGATGTCTCCAGTGCTCCTGAAATTTCATCCTTCTGGCTGATATACACACATCTGATCTCAGATGTATTTTGATTCATTGTAGAAGTGAGAGCAACTGCTGTCATAACATGAACTGTAAGACAGAAATAGAAAACAAATGTAATGCAGTCTAGATCTCTGCTCAAGGATAATCACTTTAGTAAAAATAAAATACACAAAAACTGTAGAAAAACTACATCTTTAAAAAGAAGCTAAAATAAATACACAGATATACTGTGTGCATTTGCTAACTCTGTCTGTGCAGTGAAGCTGAGTAGAAACTCTATTCTGAGAACCTTTCAAAAGCACAGACACATTGCACTTTAAAAGTATGTCCCATAATGCTGCAGAAATGTCTAAAGACAAAAACCTCTATGTGTTATGGAGGCTCCTTAGAAACCACATTACCAAATCCAGGCTTCCTCTTGTACTTCAATTCTGAATCAGCGTGTTGGAAAGGGCCCTGCAGCACCAAACCCTGCATCACAGGTCAGTGCTTTACCCACTGTGAGCCGGAGGATGATTACAAAATCATAGAATCATCAGAATTGGAAGAGACCTTTAAGATCATCAAGTCCAACTGTCAATGCAGCACTACCAGTGTAACCCCTAAACCACTAGCTATATCACCCAGCACCAGATCCAGACGCCTCTTAGACACCTCCAGAGATGGTGACTCCACCACCTCCCTGGGCAACCTATTCCAATGCCTGACCACCCTAATACTGAAAATTTTTTTTCTTGTATCCAATCTGAATCTTCCCTGTCTCTGCTTTAGAACAATTGTCCTAGTCCTCTCCCTGCAGGCATGGCACAAGAGACCAGCCCCCACCTCACTACAACCTCCTTTCAGGTAGTTGTAGGGAGCAATGAGGTCTCCCCTGAGCCACCTCATCTCTAGGCTAAACAAACCCAATTCCCTCAGCTGTTCCTCATACGACATATTTTCTAGATCTCTCATGAGTCTTGTTGCCCTTTGCAGGACACGCTCCAGCACTTCAATGTCCTTTTTAAAGTGAGGGGCCCAAAAATGAATGTAGAAGGATTTAGCAGTGTTGGTGGATGAGAAGCTCAACACAAGGCAGTGTGTGCTTGCAGCACATATCCTGGGCTGCATCAAAAGATGTGTGGCCAGCAGGTCGAGGAAAGTGTTTCTCCCCCTCTGGTCTGCTCTCATGAGACCCCACTCAGAGTACTGTGTTCAGATCTGGGGTCCCAGAAGGATATGGAGTCATTGGAACATGTCCAGAGGAGGGCCATGAAGATGCTCAAAGGGCTGGAGCACCTCTCCAAGGAAGACAGGCTGAGAGAGCTGGAGTTGTTCAGCCTGGAAAAAAGAAGGCTTCAGGGACACCTTATAGCAGCCTTCCAGTGCCTAAAGGAGTCCTGCAAGAAAGCTGGAGAGGGACTTTTTACAAGGGCATGTAGGGATAGGACAAGGAGAAATGGCTTTAGACTGAAAAAGGGTAGATTTAAATTACCTATTAGGACAAAACTCTTCACTGTGAGGGTGGTGAGGCACTGGAACAGGCTGCCCAGTGCAGTCATGGATGCCCCATCCCTGCAAGTGGAGCTTTGAGCAACCTGGTCCAGTGAAAGGTAGCCCTACTCATGGCAGGAGAGTTAGAACTACATGATCTGTAAGGTCCCTTTCTAACCAAACTATTATATGATCCTATGATTTTGCGGAAGCAGATGCAGAAAGTGGAGGGCAAAGAAAAGAAAGACTTTTCTGCCTTCTGCCTTCACCTTCCTCTATACCTCCCTGGCTCTGTCACACCCCAGGAGCCTATACAGCCAGGGCAGCTCACTTGCCAGACCCTAACTTTGGCAGGAGTAGCAAATGTCATTTATCCTTATGCATAAGGAGCAGTGGTAAAAGCATCTGATGCCTCAAAGACATCATCTCTCCAGAATGCTTCCTATAAGCCTTTCTGCAGTAACTGCATCTAGAAAAGTCACCTTTCAGCCTTAAAGGAGTTCCCACCACTACACCAAACCAAAGTAAGACTGTACAACTGTCAGGGTGAAATATGTCTGATTTCCATTAATTCCCTAAAGCCAGCTCTCAACAGTACAAATAAACAGTGAATCATGAAATAACATCTCTCTCCTGGCAACCTGAAAAATTTCTGCCCTTGGGTTTTGGCTTTTTGCTTTGCTTTCTTATTTTTTTCACCTCAGCTCCTGAGATGACTGGACATAAAGCAAGGTACAGAGTTGAAAAAAGGTAAATAAATCATAAAGCACTTGAAGAATGAAAGTAATGACGGCGATGGAAGCAAAATTTGAAGCAGGAAGAAATGAGTAAAAGTTGCTGCCATCACCTCCTTGCCCTTTGTGTCTTCTGGAACTGTCTGAGCTCTAAGTTGGCAACATTCTGGCAACCTCTTCTCAACCCTCATGGCAAATGTGAATTAAGGCTGAGTCTTTCTCATTCAGGCACCTAACATACACTTAATTTTGGTTGCCACCTTTCCACAGCATGCATAGGCAATGGTCTGCTTTTGCAGATCTCTGAGTAAGACTGTCTGTTATCCCTAAGAAAGGAAAATGAGACTTCTTTGTGGAGATATGTATCTTCCTCCACTGATTACAGAGATAATGTTGGCACTTCCTGAGACAGTGAGCGCCAGAGGGCAGCTGAAAGGCAGATATGCATTAGGTGTCTATACCAAGCATGCTGAATTCCTCCCATTGATACAACCCAGGTTTCCACCTCCCCACCCCAGCCTTTCACCAAGTCCTTCTCTGCTCAGCTTTCTCAACTTCTGTTTGTTTCCTGCCTCATTTGTCTTTCACCTTGTTCACACTTGAGTGTGAACTAAGTCCCCTCACAGCCAGGGACTTAGCTGATGGAAACCCACTTATGTCCATTGATTTCCAAAACACCAGCAAATCACCTGAAAACGTGACATCAAAGGTTCAACTCATTTGACCTACATTCCCTTACTCCAGCTTTCTGATTTGTGAATAATTTTAGTTTCTGCTTGTACAAGACAAGCCAGTGTATCCCTGTGTGACATACTCCACTTTGCTCATGTTGCCTTGTTAGGAGGATGCCTAAGCCTGCAGTTGAAAAGGTATTTAAATATCGACAGGGAGAAGATTTGCAGCTAAAAGATAGACAGAAGCAGATTAGACAGATGTAGCAACCAGACTGTGAGTGAGACATGCAAACAAGGTGTCTGATGAACCGGAACGGCATCTGTAAAGGATGGTATGTGGGAGCATATGCTAGAGGAGAGAGTAGTGAGCACCCTGACACCCTCATGTGTAAGAGAAAATGGGACTCCTTGTCCTGTAAACTGCTAGAGCTTGCTGCTGCTGTGGTCCACCTTTATTCCTGTGAAATCCAGGAAGGTTCTTAGGGTAAGGAAGGATACTTCGAACCTGAAATGATTCCAGCTGCTTTACAGTGAGAAACAAATGAGTAATATGATAGTCAGAAGTATTTACACAACATGGAGTGGCCTAAACCTGTGTAGGTTTTAAAGAAACACATTACACTGACAAAAATAGAAAATGAGAGCATGAATGAGCCTTTCAGAAGAAACAAAATCAAGAAAAGAAATATTGGGAAAATGGAAATGCTCTGATTCACCGTCTTGATCTTTCAAGCTTCTAGCTGGCCTGTTCAGAGACTGCTGTTATGGTCAGCACATCAGTCATCCACCTGAAAAACCAAAGTAAGAACTGCAGAGACTGAAAGCACTGAGTAAAGAATACCAAGTATGTAGCATGCATAATCATACTGTGTATTGCCAAACTGTAGTGAAGCTGAAATGGAAATAAATTGCTGCCTCTGAACAATGTTTGTTTATGCTTTTCATCTTCATTATCTTTTTATAAGTTATACAGAAATAAATGCAGTAGGAGAAATCTTGTTCTCGCTGAAGTCAGACAAACATCTAGTTGCCATAAACTGAGCCAAGATTTCATCAAGATGTGTAGGCACATACTTGGGGAAATGCCTGTACAAGGCAAAAAATGGGTTTACATGTTACGGTGCTGAGAAGAAAGGCCTGAATCTACTGGAGAGATACCAAACTGAAAAGCTGTATTTCAGCTAGATCAGCTATCAGAGGGTTCACCTAATGGAACTGCTTCCAGAATTTTATTTCCAAATGGGAAATGACTAAAGTAGCCTTTAGGAAACTGGGAAAATCACTCCAAAATATGCTGATAGTCTGAGTTTATCAGAAAGAGAATAGCTAAGGAACTGGTGCACAGTTAAAGATGAAGAGAAAACATTTCTCTTCATACCAAGGGATGTATCTTGTGTTTGAGTTCAACTCAGAGTGCTTAATATTTTACATAGCAATCATGCCTTCCCTATATACAGAACAATCTTTCACTCTGCTTTACAGCTCAGAAGACTGACATAGAGCAAACTGTGATTTGGGTCTTATTTGGCTTCTGACTATTTTCTCTGGGTGTGACTCTCTGGATCAACTTTCCAAAATTTTCTTCCTGATCTGAGCGGGTAGAAGGACTCCTTTTTTCCTAGGAAAAGTGTTGTTTTCCCACTGTCATGTGCTGCTAGAAACAAATGTGCAAAGTGGTGACATGGATGAGCTTAACACACATGCATTAACTCTTGAAAACCCCACACTTTAGCATGTGTCTGCCTTTTTCTCAAATCACCCTTAAAGCAGTGGATCCTGAAGTGAGAATTGTACTCAATACAAATATGCTAAAACTCAGAGGGATGCAAGACAGGTAGAAAGAACTGATATTAAATTAATTCCTACCATTTACTCACATCTTATTTCTCTCCCATCAAACTTTTGTGCTTCCCCATCTTTCTACACTTCTTCCTTCCTTGGTGTCTTCACTCTTTCATCTTAAATAATTTCTGGCTTCCAAAACTATGCACCCTGTGAATTCATTCTCTCATGATGATGGGGCCAGAGGTGTTACTCCATATTGCATAATAATAACTATGTTAGAACAAAGTTTAACAAGCAAGGTGGATGACAAGATGCCTCTCTTGCAGCTCATGCTAATTGTGACTAGCTGCTGTAACACGGGATGGGGTACATCTAGGTGAGGACCAGTCATTTATCTGGTCTTACCAGTTAACTACGACAA